CCCCGCAGGCCAGTCGCGCCCCCAGTCGAGATGCGGGGCTAGGGGGACGCAAACCGCTTCCCCCACTCCACGGCCTGATGATTCTCCCTCCTTTTCTCCAGCACGTGTACAGGCTCTGGGAGGGGAGAAACCGCTCGTGCTGAGGGACACCCCTGTTTCTCCCCACATTCCCTGCCCTCCCCAGGCTTGGCTGGCCCTGAGCAGTAAACCCCACCACCGAGGACCTGGGCCTCGAGTCCTCTCGGATTGGGGAGTCCCCTTTAAACTGCAAATTGCACTGACCATTGTGTCCAGAACTGGAGCTTCTCCTGTTTGCCAGACATTGTGGCAGGTTCTGGGTCAAGCTTTGGGTCCTTCCTGTTCTCCAGCCCTCTCAGCTTCCCTGCAACATTGGGTGGCACTTCCATTAGCCCTTTTTCAGAGTAGGGGACTGAGGCCTAGAGAGGTGAAGTGACTTGCCCCAGGTCATCTAGTCAGCTAGTAAGGGATTCACTCCCAGCTCGTGTCACTCCAGACACTATGCTCTTTACCGCTTCTCCTGGGGCTGGGGGCTAGTGGGTCCTGTGGGTGCGGGGAGTGGGGGGGTCTAGGGGCCTTGGGGGAGGGCAAGGGCAGGACTGGCAGTCCAAACCCTTGGTCCAGGAAAAGCCAGAGCCTTAAAGGGAGAGTCTGAAGTTTTGGCACTAACCAGTGGCATGAAGACAGATCCATAGATGCCAGCTGGCTTACCTGTGGAACCGAGTCTGAGGCCTTGCCTCCCATCCTCTCATTCGCTCCATTGTTTCTTCCTTCTATCCAGGACTCTTTGCCTGTTCCTGTGCAGCCTGCTGTTTGTCCCTCCTTTCCTTGCCTCCCCATGACTTTCAGCACACATGCTGGGAGCTCAGGCTCCTCACCCTGCACTCAACCTTATCGCCGGCCTGGGCCCAACATTTCCCTCCCTCTAGGCCTGGTCCTTGCTGTGCCCTCCACCTGGTACATCCTTTGTATTCCACCCACTGGCTCTCACCAGCCCAATCTGATTTATCTTAGGATGTGGCCTTGTGCCAAAGCTAGGGCTAGTCTCTGGCTGGGCCTCTGCAGGCCAGACAAACAGATGGGTGGATGGGAGGACAGGAAATGATCCCACAAAGGGGCCTGTACCCAACAGGAGTTAAAGTGCCATTTGTACAATGTCTGCTGGTCTGACCTGGACCAGAGGAGACTATTTCAGGCCCTGCTCTTGGCTGACCTTGTGAAGGATTCTGCCATTCTGTCTGCCTGACTCCCATACATCTCTGTGGCTGTCTTAATCGGTTTCCCTCTCCTAGGCTCTGAACCCCAGTCCTCCAGGAAGAGTTGTGGAGATTAACTGACAACTTTCAAGGTAAGTCAGTGATTTCTCAGCCCTGCCTAGATATCCTTCTCTGACCCAGGAGCTGGAAGGGACCCTTAATATAAATCTGACCCTCAGGTGTGGACAGGGGACTCATGATAGAAATGCAAGGGGTGGCTCCAAGACCAGCAAGTGACAGAGAATGCAACATTGACAAGGCCCTAGGTCTCCAAGCCAGAAATGTCATCTTGGGACCAAGAAGATGAAGGCTTGCTTCCACAAGGCCTGCAGCCTCTGTTTATCTTGCAGAGGAGCCTGCCACCCTTCTCCTGGGGGGAGCTGCAGCACCCTCGGGGATGGGCCCAAATGTGTCTACTTCATTGCCCACTTCCCCCTCATAGTGACCTTTGCCTTTTCCATATTTATTTATAGTATTAAAAAAATAGAATTGGAATCCTTTGTATAGTTTTGTATCCAGTTTCATGTATACAGCAACCCTGGGGGGATTTTTACCCCATTTTACAGATGAGGAAAGCAAGGTTCAGAGAAGTTTAGTTATGGTGCATGGCAAGTGACAAAGCAAGCATGAAAACCCAAGGCTGCCGAGTCCCTTATTCAACATGTTTAAAATCACGGGGAGGAGGAGGAAGTGGATTTTAAATTTGATTGTCATTTGTGTATATATGCTTTGCATATATGTACAAGACTCTGGAAGGAGTTAAGAGAAGCTAGGGAGAATATTTGCCTCCCAGGAGAAGACTGGGAGACCAGAAGGGAGAGGGAGGGGAAGGAATAGAGGTGGCAGGGACACCCTATACTGCCTACTCCTTTTGAAAGAATTAAAGTGTTAACAGTTGACTCTTGAACAACATGGCTTTGAACTGTGCAGGTCCACTTATACACAGATGTTTTTTTCAATAAAAATATTCAGCACTGTAAATGTATTTTCTCTTATGATTTTCTTAAGTAACATTTTCTTTTTTCTAGCTTACTTGATGGTAAGAATACAGTATATGATACATATACAAAATATGTGTTAATAGACTATGTTATCGTAGGCTATTAGGGGAGTCAAAAGTTATATGTGGAATTTTGACTTCATGGGTGTGTGTGTGGTGGTGGCATCACTAACCTATGTGTTGTTCAAGAGTCAAATGTGTTACTGCTTTAACAACCAAATAGAGGTTGATCCAATTCTTTTCTTCCTGCAGCCTGACTTCAAAAATTTCCTTCCAGTGCTGGAGTGCTGGGAACTCAGGAAGATGAGAGGAGCCGATGGAGTCTGCCTGTCTCAGGTGAAGCCCCAGTTGTCCCGGCAGCCCATTCAGGTCAACTTGGTAAAGCCTGTGCCCTCATTCAGGCGCCTCCTGTCTCAATTACGTGCTGTCTTTAAAGCTGAATTGATTTCACTGCTCTGGAGTTTATTCTTTGGTCTCACTGGAGTCAGTGGCTCCTGGATTTTGCTTTTTCTGGAGGAGGGAGAGCATGGGGATATTTGAGGGCTATGATGAAGGGCTTGGGAGGAGGGTAGGAGCAGCTTGCATAGCCATACCTCATTCATCAAACAACTTCGACCTGATCTCACTTTCCCTCTTGAAGGTACAGTGTCTTTGCTCTATTAGGTGATGAGAGGCTCATGCCTACCCTGTCAGGTCATGGGCATCACTGTGAGCATTGGTTGAGAAAACAGATGTCCAATGCTGTACCAACAGGCAGAATCATGTCTGCTCTTCATAGTATATTATGCACAGGACCAACAGGGCAGACTAGAAGCCCTGTGGCCTGGAGATTGTAAGAGCAGAATTACAGTTTCTTGTATTTTTAAAAAACATTTCCATTCCAAGTATGTATGGGGATGTGTGCATGCAGTGGAATGGAATGAGCCTAGGCTGTGGACTCAGACAGATCTAGACTTGGCTTCCGGTATCACTGGCTGTGTGACCTGGGACAAGTTGCTTCACTTCTCTGAGTCTGTTTTCTCATCTGTAAGACAGGAATAGAGAGTCTAGAGGGCTAATAGTATGGTCAGGTAGGGTGATGCCTTGAGTACCTGGCACCAAGGATGCACTCCTCAGACCCTAGACCTCTGTTCTTTCCCCTTTCCTTACTTTGTTGGGCATATTTAAAACCCCCAAAATTCCTTTTCCAATTATAGTAGTAGCAACTATTCATTGCAGAAAATTTGGAAGAATCAGAAAAGCATATAGAAGAAAATTTAAACAACTGGTCATGTGATTCAAGAACCAGTACTGTTAACATTTTAGTGACCATCCTTCCTGGCTCTTTTGATATGTATTAGTAGTACTTAAAAAACAATTGGAATCAGATGTATAGCTTTGTGAACAGTTTTGTTTTTGTTTTTCCCCCACCTAATGCCCTATTGTTAGCATTTTCTTGTTTGGTCAGCCTTGGAGAACTTGACACTTAATAACTGCACAATGCTTTAGTGTATGTGTTATTTCCAGTTTTTACTATTGTAAATAGCACTGCAGTGAACATCCTTATTTATACATCTTTGTGTGTATCTGATAATTTCCCTGGGATAAACTGCCAGTAAAGCATTTAAAAATGTAGAAAGCATGGTGAAAGTAATTTCATAAATGTATTCTTTCATTCAACAAGCATTTGTTCAACACTTATTAGATGCCAAGTGCTGGGCCAGGCATGGGTGATACAACTGTGGACTTTATAGACCCACAGCTGTCTCAGGGGAGGAGTGGGGAAGAGGGGCAAATGACTGGCCAATGAGAACCAGGGTGAGAAAGGCTAGGATGGGCAAAGGCAGGCAGGGAGGGTTAGTGGCCAAGGCCTGGGAGAGTGTCCTGGGTTGTGACTGATTCTTCCTGGCTGGTTTCCCATAGATTATAAGCTCTTCTAGGGCAAAGCTAGCCCCAAACTTCCTGGGAGCTCAATAATACAGTCTCCACCAGTTGGCACAAATAATGATGGGTAACTCGCCAGATCTGTTGGAGTGTTTATTTCTAATCCCTACACCACCTCTTAATAGCTGTGAGACTTTGGAATTTTACTCACCCTCCAAGCCTCTGTTCTCTTATCTGTGAACTGGGGTGAGCAATAGTGTCTGTTCATTGGGTAAGCACAAATGAGAACAAAATGAGGTGATGCACATCAAGGGCCTGCTTGGCTTGTAAGTGAGCAGTAATGTGGTATGGAGCTCAGTTTTCCCATCTGTTCAATGGGAGATTGGCCTAGATCAGAGGTTCTCAAACGTAAGCGTGCATCAGAATCACCTAGAGGGCTCATTAAAGCCATTTCCTGGACCTCATCCCAGTTTCTGATTCAGCCGGTCTGGGATGGGGCCTGAGGATTTACATTTCTAAAAGTTCCCAGGGGATGCTGCTGGTCCAGGACCACACTTTGAAAA